GATGGTTGGTGGGGGGGGGTAATCAACTGAATGACCTTCAGGCACAGATTTATGAAAGGCATTGATCAGTTAAGGCTGTGATTTCACCGAGACAGGAAGGTCAGCTATTACCCAGATTCAATTAACCTAATTTAGTAAAGACTGCTGAGAGACCAATTTCTCTCCCTACATCCCCCCCCGAACCTCCTGCTTTATATCAAACGATCCCCGGGCCGTCCATCTACCTTTGATCTGATGATCTGAGCTGCCATTGCAGGCCCCGCATTCCTCTGAGCTGAGCGAGTTATTACCAAACTGGAAGAAACCGTACAGCCAGAGTTTGGGTAAAGCCAGACTAAATAAAAGCAAATTCCTAATAGTCTCTCTCTCCCCCCCGCCCCCCTCCCATTCTCAGTAAAGCAGGTAGAGCCATTCCTCACGGTGGAGATATCATTTTCACACAGGCTGGCGGTGCTATCACAACAGCTGTGGCGTGAAAACAAAGAAACCTGTTAGAAGTCTTTGTTGTGGGCTCATTCCGGCAAAGACTATAATTACAATTTAGTTCTGAGCAATTTGGCACATGCTATGTTCTCGACAGACTGTTGTAGGACAAGTGGTAAAGCAGCTTATCTCAACACTTATATATACCACAAACCAAACAGGCTTTTTTAAATCACTTTTCCTCAAGATGAGCAGCTCAATATCCAAACCAGTTTAAAGGGGCAGTATGAAAAATAATCAATCAGGTGACAATCAGCTGTGCAGCTGTAGCTTAGAGCATGTTGTGCAAGTGGGTAATCATAACAGAGCGAAGGATCAGACACAACACACTGTGGTGCAGCTGTATAAGTGGGTTAAAGGTCCTATAGTGTACGCAAAGACACTCCATGGTCTTGTATAAAAGTACAGGGCCACTCGGTGCTGTCGTAATGGGCAGGAACATGGCATTACATTACTTTACTTTACTTAAGTAAAAGTAGGAATACCATGGTCTTAAAATACTCAATTACAAGTAAAAGTCATATTTTCCAAATGTTGCTTAAGTAAAAGTCCAAAAGTATCAACATGTACTTTAAATATCAAAATAAATGTCATATAGTACTCAGATGTTAGTAATAGTAGCAATAATAATAACTTAAGTACAGTACTTGATTAAATGTACTTCCAACACTGCAAATAAGGTTAAGTATTTCAGTAAGAAGTACAATGCTTCTGAAGTGTAGGGAAGTACAGGACAGTACTTGAGTGACACACACACACACACACACACACACACAATTTGCTCCCCAGCTTGGTGTTTCATCACTGTCAACTTCCTCCTTCACTGACCTCTCTTCCAATTTCCCACTTGCTGTCACCTCAAGTTCCCTCTCTTGTCATGAGGTATATTTCTCTCCAAAGCTAAGATCTGATTGGCCAATACTGCAATAATTGCTTAAAAGGAAAGCCTTGAATGTTTCTCATGTGAAGTCCTGGTTTGAGGTGATGGAGTTTGTTTGTTTTCTGTATCACACAATGATTCTGAACAGTGACATAAAGAAGCTTATCAGTGCTGATAAGAAACAAACAGCTATCAGTTAAACCTTCGCAGGAGCTTGATATTCTCTGTTCACATGGGAGTATCTCCGCTTTGATAAACACTTCTATTAGCACCCACTTCAACAACTCTCACCCTTTCACCCCAGATGCCCGCTAACGCTACTTTTAACGATAGCTTTCACAGCGGGCCTATAGCTCCCAGGCTGCAACGGGAGGCACTAAATTAATTATCTCCTGCGTTTGTCCTCGCGCCGTTCTGGAAACTTAATGACCTCTCCGGCGGTCGTTTATTATAAGCCACAGCAGCGTTCCCTCGCATCTCCCTTACCTCAGATTCCCACCCACCGCTATACCACAACTCGCCTGCTTGTCAGACAGCTGTGGGGCCAGCGAGGCTGCAAACCCCCAGTGAGCGCCATGGCATATAAAACACGGACGGCAAATGGCCTCCCACGCAACTGTCAACCGATGCCTCGACTGGAGCATCATTAAGATGATAATGAATTCCATAGTGACTGTGTAGAATGGATTGGTCTCTTCCCCTTGCACCAAACACACACACACAAACCTATTTCTGCGTAGCCCCGAGTGCCATTTTCATAGGCACGTAAACCGCATGTTTTATTTTGAAGGAGAGTTAGCAGGAAGTTAGACAGGAAGTTGTTGTTGCTTTGGAAACAACGTGACGGAGATTAACGGAGAAAAGTAATATCTAGGAGAATACATATAAAGATGGAGAAAGTAAACAATAACCTTTATGGTTAAGTGTTAGCATCCCCCTAAAAGGCACAAGCTCTTACGTTTATATTGGAGATTTCAATAAATTCAATTTAAAAAAGAAAACGGGGACAAAACGAAAAAACAAACAAAACGAATATCCGAAAAACGAAATTGAAACCCGAATAGTACTCCAACGAACGAATATTCGGATATTCGGGTACAGCCCTAGTGTGTGTGTGTGCGACACAGGGCCATGGCTGACAACTGCTCCCTCTCCCCCTAGCAACAGACGCAGGGAAATGAATGCCGAGAGAGGAGCAGGGAGGCTTGAGCTTTGTGTAAAATATTACCCTTCGTCTCGCTTACCGCTCCCCTCCCTCCCCTCCCCTGGCTGTGCAGCGGTTGCTAGCCCTTATCACGGCTGCCTGTCAGTTTAGTATACAAATTAGCAGTCTATCAGGGGAATGCAGGGGCCTGTTTCATCAGTGGGGAGAAGGGCAGAGGCATGCATTGCATTAAAGAGACAGAGGGTCACAAATCAACGCCTCAGCAGGCCCACAGCCAGCACTAACCAGATAAGGAGAAATGAAGGAAAAAGGAAAAGGCATATTTCACCAGAGAGAATCCAGACCTGCTCACACTCCCTGAAAAAGGCCGGTGGATGAAGGATGAAGGTGGGCTGACTGGAGGGGGGAGGGGGGGGTCACAAATCACAATTCCAACGCTACAGATTATAACAAAGAGGACGTGGGAAACAGGTACGGCATAAAAATAAGCCCATTTATTAAATGTCAGAGTCAGAGGAAGTGCTTTCAGTTGATTATCGACCAACATTTGCAGGAAATTAGGGGCCCCACTTTCTCCTGTGAAGTGAACCTGTGCATGTTAATACCAGCAGACAAAACGCCTGCGAAGGGCTCTCATTAAGTGGCATAATGCAATGAGGCACAGTCTAAATTGCGGCAATAAAAGCCGACAGACAAATCAGCTCTACCATCGCAATCCATTTAACTCAATTAATGCAACACCGGATCCCAGCTCAGTGGTTTAAAAGCATGCGTGGCTCTTTTCCCTCGTCAGGGGAATAGGGAAGTAGAGAAGAATCTGTTTGAGGGGTGAGATTAGGGTCAGCGTGGCACAGACGTTGGGCTATGATTAACTCCTGCACGAGACTTTGTGCCGGGGAAAGACAGAGATAAAGGAAAAACTACAGCAGGAGATATGGGTGGCTGTGTTCGCCTCAGACTTTGGAAAGGGCGTGGCCTCCTTTCCTTTTTTAATGTCCGAATGTGTGCCGGCAGCCATAAGACTCCCAGGTAATCTCCCGGTGGAATCAGGGGGGTTGTTTGTCTCCCCTGATAACGATCACAGCACCGGTGAATTCTCCGGGCTCTCCAGGCTTCTGGGTAGCCGAGATGCCAGATAGCCCTTTAAGACACGGCTCGCTGCTCCCTGATTGGCTGGTCAACAACCACAACTAAATCCCAGCTCCCTTGAGGACGTGTGATAGGACGGGTCACTGAAACTTACTGTCCCTCTTATCAACATCATCCTTTTGTTGTAAACCCTTTACCCCATTGTCAGCGTGGGTGGTTGGAAGTAAAAGCCTTTCTGGATGTTATTGTCTAAGAGGCAGGATAACAGACAGGCGGATTATTTAAAGGAAAAACTGCTTTCTCCAGAGCTCTCGCAATGCAGCACCGTTGTTGCTGTGGAGAGGATCCTGGAGATAATAATAATATTCCTAGTCAGAGCCTTTGCTGCAGTAGAGCTGCCTTAACAGAGAGATACACATCATTCTGACTGGCCCGCCGTGACATAATCGCCCTGCGGAGAGCTGCAGGCAAGCTTGGTAGGCAAACCACCTCTCACTGCAGCTTGTTAAGAGAAAGGTGGCTTTAAGCACAGCTCAAAAGAAACTCCGATTGAACCTGTTGTTCTTTCACTCCATCTGAACAACGTGAGTCATAGCCCACCGCAGGCTACACTACTTACATGTTCCTTTCTTCCTCTCTCTCAAGATTGTGCTGCGCTTTTTGACTTGGTTGAATTCGCTAAAAGGGGGAAAGAAAAACAAACTCGGCAGGATCTTAAATAATGCAGCGATAAAAAAAGCTATGACCCTTTCCCTCGCCTCAACCCACACACAGCAAGTTGCTTCTGCAGTGAGAGACAGCGCACAAAGAGAAGAAGAAAAAGGCAGAGCTGGCACTACTTGGAAATGTGTGGAAGGCTTTGGTTCGCTCCTCTGGGCACGGACACCTTTAATGAGAGGAAAAAATGCGCAGCGAGAGGCAGATCTCACCCGTAGTATGCCAGTGATTTTCAGTAATATGAATCACCTCCCCTCTAACACAAATAAAAATGGTTCTAATACCAGTGGGAGTTAAAGAAAAGCCACACGGGAACCAGCCTCCACACCAGTCATCCCACAAACCCTACACCATGCACACACTACATGCCTATGACCCTTGACCTTTCAGCTTCTCTCTCTGCAGTTTATCAGCCCCGATGACGGCTGTGAAGTTGATGTTTCAGTAACACTAGCTTCACAAAATTACAACAGCAGCTGAAATATGGCGAAGGGAATTTAGGAATAAATCCTGATCAAATATCTCCTGCAAACACGAGAGTCGGATCAAAACAGCTACTGGACATGTGGGCAGTGCCAAATGTCCCATCAGTCTCACACCGCCGTCCCCATGCCAATTTAAGGTACCCTATCCCCCCCCCCTGGTAGCAAAAACAAACATGGCACGCACTATATAAAGAAGTCTCAGACCTCCTACGCCCCCCGGGTCATGTTGGAAAGGGATGTGGCACGTTAAGTGGAATTTACTTTTGATGCAGACATCAGGCCTCAGGTTCCCAGCAGCTGTAACCCAAGCTTCTCCCTGAGGCCTCGCTGCAAGGGATGGACACCCAACGCCCTGGCAGCCACCTTCAAAACATACCTCCACCCCTCAGCTGCCCCTTTATAAACCAGGGAGACTAAAAGTGGTGGTTGTTGGGGGGCACGGTTTACATTCGACAGACTTTCATTTCATTACCAA